TTATAAGCTTTTAATATATTTTCGCTAACCACTTGTCTTTTATTTGCAGTGCATATTTATATGTATGCTTTGTCATTTTTCTTTTTGCCCTAGATGTCGTTTCTCCACCTTGCCAGAACGCTACTAAAAATCTATGAAGATAAAAACTATAGCTCTTATATATAATAATCTGTCACAATTGTATTCGAGATAACGTCTGCCACGGCGTCCTCAAAATATTGAAAGACATGAAATATTAGACGTATATTGCTCATCTTTCAACTTTTTGCCGTAAATCTAAGAATATTTTTTTATATATATTTTCGGCACGTATTTACTTTATGCACGGATGTCTTCGGGTCACGGATTATTAAATTTAAACTATACTTGCACTTACTTCAAAATTTACTTTGCTTATTATATTTTAATGTTTATTTATCGCTCTACCATATTTTCTCATTGTGCGCTGTATTTGCGAAATTCCATGTGGACATACGATGTACCTACACTGTTGCCGCAATAGACAAGCTAGCTTCAAATATAGTCTTTGGTCGAGGTTATTGTTTTAGGACAATATACTAAATAACTATTCTTTACTACTGTAATTCTATTTGATAAGTATGTTAGTTCCGCAATATTGTTTTGTTAAATGAAGCTAATTCTTATGAATTTTATCAGGTTTATTTTAAAACTTAAATTCCCAACGTTTTGAATAGTGTTCAGTATGATCACGGCACGGATTAAGGCGGCGATGGAAAGGTATTTTATATATTCATATGGGAAATATATATAATTTTATATGGGATAATTATTAATTGCAATGATAATTATTAATTGCTTAATTTTTCTCATAATAATATGTCCAGGTCATTTATTTTAACGCTTGATTTTCTTTGATAATTATGTTTTAGCTTACAAATTAATCGTTACGTCACGTTACATTAACACGAGTGAGAATGTGTAAGCTGTATTTCTAAGATATCCTATGATGTTAAATGAATAAGTTTAAGATGTTAAGACTTTTTGTCCGAAAAGCTAATCCAAATGAACTAGATACATGAAAGCGGTTTACACCATGTTCATTGATTACCGCCTCCCATGGATATTTATAACCTCCGTCGGGTTGCCGTTGCGACGCGAAAAGAATTGGGTTTCAGTTTCTTCATATATAAAAAGAAATTCACGATGGTCTTCTGTGTGGGCGTGGTACTTCCGCAGATGAACCTATCGCTTTACGCAACGGCTACTGCTGCTCCGTGGTCTTATCACATTTAAAGGTGATTCAAGTCGACCAATTGTATTAATAATTGTTTATGCAACCTATACAAAGTCACCCAGTCCCAGCATGAGCCGGGTTACCAGAACGGTTGCATAAGGAGCGCCCGCGAGCCTTCTGATTCATCCGAAGCGAAGTCCGCGTGGACTGGTTCCCATCGAACAAGCGCTGCATTGCCTAATCTGTAGCAGGAATATTCTACAATGCAACCAATCGTTATCCTCGTGATTCGACCCGACTTTGTCAATAATTCCTGTTCGATTAACACTTAAAACATGTTAATGTTTAGGCGGATGTTAACTTTAAGATATCAAGCCCATTGCATGAACTCTAAGACTCCTTTTCCCATCATACTCGCTTTGAATTAATCGTGACTACAGTCTTATGGTATAGTTTATAGGAAAAAATAATAATTAGTGGTAAATAATCCTATACTAATGGCTGGGTATAGCTAATACGATTAAAATTAAATTTGTACTAGTTTTATTTAGGTCCAGTTGTATTGTGTAATATGTGTCCAGTTGTCATGTTATCAAATTATTAGAATAATCATAATCAGCTCGCATATCTGTTAGGAAGCGGCTGTCCGCTAAAAATAGACGTACACTTTGGTAAACGATTTGTCATATATTATGTATTTGTTTCATTTGATGTAGACATTTTAGTTCCGCGGCGACCTCCTTTTTAAAATAATTGTATACTCTTATTGTTGCGGCTGGTTTTAACAGAGATAAAAGTCACAAAGCTTTTTTGACATCGCGCCATAAGTATTTTTAAGTATTTTTTTTTATGTTGTAAATAATAATTTAGGTTAATATACAACAATTAATTTTTGCACTTCCGTTGATCTTATATCCTATGTTCCTAATGAAATTCAAATGTCGAAATCGACATAAGCTTTAGCAATGTAACTATATAGTTTTCAATATTAAAAGTTCCTCAAGATAACAAAAAAGTGGTGACAAATTCATTCAAAGGAATTCTCATAAGCTGAGCATTAACAAAAACCTTAAAGTTCTGTTTTTTGAAGCTGATTTTAAGATGTGATAAATGTTCTGTTTTATAAATTATAAAACCTAAAACCGCATATATTGGACATCTATATACGAGTAGACATGAGATATATAACATATTAAAAAATATAATTGAAGGAAAAATAGAAGGAAAACAGGGAAGAGGATGAAGACGAATAACATGGAATGACAATTTGAAAAAATTAACAGACATCAAGGACGCCGTCAGTCTTTATAGATTGGCGCAGAATAGAGAAGAGTTCCGTTGGGTGGTCGCGAACATCCGATAGGCTAGGGCACCCCCAAGAAGAAGAAGATTATAAATTGTCTCTGTAAATTTTGCATACCACCAGGTTCCATTTGATAATATTTGATAAGAGAATTTAAAATATATTTTTGTTTATTTTTCTACAAACTTTAATATAATCGCGTGGTGGACTATGCCCTTATATTCTATGTACAAGGGGGGCCTTTGTCCAGTAAAGGGGACGTAAATATAAGTTGTTACTTTATTTTTTTTATTTCTTTTATGGGAAAAGATTTGAACTTGCAATTGCCAAATAGCAGCCGCACCCAAAAACACGAATGATATAAGAAGTGCGAGTCAGTCTCGCGGACGAAGGGTTTCGTGCCATACCGTACCGTTCTGCGTTTCGTCTGGTGAGTGAGGTAGCCGGAACCCACTTTATTTAAAGCTGGCAACGCATTTGCAACCCAACGGGCAAATGTCCATGAGCGGCGGACTTAATATCAGATGAGCCGCCAGTTCGTTTGCCACTTTCTCACATAAAAAAAATATTTTTTGTTATAGTGGTAACAGAAATAGTACTAATTATATAAAAATTTCAACTGTTTAACTATCACGGTTCATAAGATACAGCCTGGTGACAGACGGACTGACAGACGGCGGAGTCTTAGTAACAGGGTCCCGTTTTACCCTTTTGGTACGGAAATGTAATATTGCAAAATAATATATGTTTTGGTTATATGTTACCATTTTGCAGTTTACAAGAATGAGGTTGTTAGTAATAAGGTTTCTGTTACGGTATACTGTAGTTAACTCATGTTTTACGAATTAAATTTTTACAGATGCATCAATGCCTTATTAACGTATTAAACAATAATCTAAGTGTAATTAAACTTTTTAACCTTACCTTTGGAATTTCAGGCTCGCAGACTATAAGTAAAATGGCTAAAGTTACTACAATTGATTGCATCGCTAAAGATAAGTTTTTGGCGGTAATTACTCACGAAATTGAATGCACATCAAAACACACTGAGGAATTTTGAGGTGGTTAGGTATAGTTGCCGTAAGTAACCTTTTATGGGAATCCCAATACGTTTTAAACAATGACTTGTTTTATTCAAATATATTTTATATTGACCATGATCATTTACGGTACCTAAAACGCGCTTAATATTGTAGATAATTAGGTGTGTTAGTTGCACTTTCATAAAAATAACTGCATTAAAATCATAAATCGGCATTACCACATTAAAGTATTATTATGGGTCACAAAAATTACGATAATTTATAAGTTAAAATATATACGTATATAAATTATAAATTATATGGCTTATATTATATGTAGTGCAAATATAATAATAACAAACGATTTAATCGATTTTTATCCTTGACATCTTTTTTTTCTTTGTTTTGGGAATTGATAATTTACTGATAAGTTTAACGACTGAATCCTGGTTGTTTTCTTATTTGCATCCACTTATTTCTGATTGTGACAGCTGGGTGAATAAAGGTGAGCAATACTCAAAATGGATGTTGATAATTTATTGCATCGAGAATGTTTTTTCGACAATATGTAAATTTTATGTTTAATTATTTATTAATTATGTATGCATTTGATGACTCCGGGGTGTAGTTGGCAAGGTATTGTCTTCAGTGCCGGGCGTTCGAGAGTTCGATTCCCACACGGGACCAATTGGTTATCAAGTGTAGGAATGGAACCACAGATAATTGGTTTTGGATCGGGGTATTTAACTGCGTGAAATTTATTTGTGTAAAACATCCTTACAGCACAGAATAATGTTATCCTGTGTTGTATAATTACTGTGGCCACGCAACAGATTCTGTTGTTCTGGGAAATACCACGGTAGTAAGCTTTCTCGTTTCTTGTGCTCAGTGAGGTAACCTGAGACATTTTATAGGTTGTTAAGTTATCAGCAAGCCATTGGATGTTGTAGGCGTCCATGGGTGGCGGTATTTATTTAACGTCAGGTGAACCACATGTTCGCTGGACAACTAGTCACATCAAAAAATCCTACGGTAAGGACAATGTTTTAAAAAAAATATATATATGTAACATACTTCATGGCACATGGTCATAGCCTGCGTATATGACATCTTCCGATAGAAACCAATATATGATGCACTCATCCAAATCAACCAACATGACTTCGTCTTACTAGTTTCAATAAATACGTATATACGATGGAGTACTACAAATTCACTCCTAAGCTTTAAAGCTATCTATTATTTTAGCCGATAAATGATGAAAGGATAAGGAAACATAAAAATCTATTGATTACTATTGCATAAACTGATACCTTACCAGAACAGTTAGTTGTTAGGTTGGCTTTGTTAGCAACAAGGCTAAATATTAGATTTAAAAACAATACCAGAGAGCTGATTAGAAAATTACTCAAAACATGGATGCATGACAGTACATAACATCGGTTATATCCATGTAATACATTGTTTTAACCTTAAGTTAATGTATTTATTCTGTATTACATTTACGAGCGACCGCGTCGGGTCACGGACTCCACTAAAGCGAGGTGGAACAAGCTATTCGGTGCTCTATGGATGGGGTTCTTACGGCAGCCTACGAGCGCCCACGACGATCGCCAGTCTAACATCTACCTATTGCGGCTGCCCAGCAAAGGCAGCTTGCGGCCTCCGGCGCGGCGCGAGTGGGGCCCCCACCGCGCCACGTCCGCTGCTCGGCGCGGGCCCGCCGCTCGCCGCAGCGCTCAGTGCTCGCTCCGTCGCCATGGCCGCCACACGTCCGCTCGCGCTTCCGCTCGCCGCGCTGCTCGCCGCGCTCCTGCTCGCCGCCCTGGCGCCCGCCGACGCCGCGCCGCGCTCGCGCCGGCAGCTCGCCGACGACAACTCGCTGCAGCCGCTAGACGTAAGTCCAATGATAACTAACGAGGAGTTACCGCCGTCACCCAATGATCGCAAAACTCCGCTACGCCGACTATTTCCCTGCATCTAATGACTTCAATATTATGCAGTGTCTACCAGATACAAAGCAGTCGATTGCGGATGTCCCTCGCAATGCCAAATATGCTTTTATAAAAAAGAAGGCAAATAAGCTTTACATTTACCATTCTTAATTTTCCATATTTCTATCTCATACTTCTGCTGTATTATTTTATGCCTGAGACCAAATAGGCGAAAAAGTAATACAGTGGAGCGAGTGAGCATGCACCAGCCTCGCGCCTGCGCCTCCCCACCCGCACACTACACTACAAACCAAAGACACCACAACACATCAACCACTCCACCCGGAGCAATTGGCCGCGGATGAGCTCAGAAATGCTTTCACCATGTCGCTGAACCCTACGTGCATTATCTAACGCGGCGTTAGGTAACTCGTGCCGGCCGACCCATTGTGTTATAGTCCGCCCATCGTTTGGCAGACTTAGGGAACGCTAATTATAATTTAAACGTAGAAGAAAACTAATATGCCTAATTAAACTAAGTTCTCTATTCTTCTGACTTACGAGGACAAGCAGTAAAAACGTGAAAGGATGTAATGGGAGCCAATTAAAATTTATTTTTTGTTAAAACATTGGTTTGACAAGGGTTTATAATTGTCCTCAAAAACAAAAGTAAAAAAATCACATAAACTGGAATAACAACAATTCTTCAATAAACAAGATATACGAGAGTATTTTATAACTTGACCGGTTAAGAACTGATTATTTATTCCTAGTCAACTTCAACACTGGTCAAATTGAACATAATCGTGTAACTAACTTAGTAATATGAAAGTATGAAATAAAACTAAAATATGTAAATAGTAAAAACAAAGGTATTGTCACAATCTATCACAATCTATCACTAATTAATTTTGCGAAACACGAATAAATAAAAAGAGCCTCGTATCAATCATAGCGGTGATAGGGCTACGCAAGTTTCACTGTTGCACGAATGGGCAGGTCCGTCCGGGTTAGTACCACGACAGCACAGAAGACCGGCGTGATGTAGAAGTGCTGTTACACTTCTGCGTTTCATCTGGTGAGTGACTTAGCCGGGGCCAACTTTATTAAAAGGTGCCAACGCATCTGCATCCCTACGGGTATTGCAAATATCCATGGGCGGCGGTAATCACTTATCATCAGGTGAAAACAACCGCTAGTTCGTCTGTCACAGAAAATGTTACATTTAAGGAACAAATTTATAGTAAATAGGGCAATTATATTTATAAATAGAGCACGGTGTACTAACAAAACATTTTAATATTGAAAGCATTTTCTGTTTGATTTATTCGCGTTCACAAGCTGCTGGGAACGCAGCCCTTTGTCTTGCTTCTTACCCAAAATGGAGCTTGCTTATAATCTTGCCGCAATGGCTTTTCTTACGGTAGTTTCGTTTTCTCATCGTGAGAAAATCGCAGATCGAACAGATTCACACCGCAATACTGTCGACCGACATCGGGGGCACTTATCTAATGTACTCGCGCGGTTATGTCACGCGGCGCGCGGTGGCTCTCGGCGCAGCCGGCCGGTCTCGTTGGCGGGAAAGGAGGACGCGCGCAGACGCCGCGGTCAAGCCACCGGCCTCGACCCACCGACCACATCGCACCACTCATTACTCTATCTACAGCCGCGACCGCTGCTCACGCGTGACATTAAGAGACGTCTCACACCGTTGACACCATAAGCGGAAAGAACCCGCCGCAGGGTGCGATGACGTCCACTGGTCCCTTTCGTCGCTTTGTACGCCGTGATTGGTTGAGAAATTTAAATACCATGAGAAAAGTTGACATTTATATAAAAATAATCAATAATTACTTGCATAGCTTTTATTATCACCTCATACTCTGGTTCGTAATAATAAAAATGGTGTGTCTAAATATCCGCATTAAGATATAATGAATTAGTTAATGTTTATAACGAAAATAAAATTACTCATCATAGTCATAAAACGTAATTAAGGTGTATTTTATGTTAAACCCATGAAATTAGGAGAAACTAATAATTACTAAGATTTGCCAGGTTGTAATATCTCAGTCTTGAAAAGTCAATTAAGTGAATGTGACGTAACTGTTGTTTTACTTACATTTCAAAGAACCATATAATAAAGAGTTATCTCACAAATTTAAAAACAGGACAGTTTGCTTAATTCAAATATAAACACTTTCGTATTTTAATCTACAAAGTTCAACTAGGTGATTGTTACATAAGTCTTGTTACACACGTTATGATAGAAATAGTTATGTTATATTACTTCTGCCGTGGTAGCCGTGATAGCTCAGTGGAAACATCGTGAGGAAACCTGCATATTTTCGAAATAATAACAAAAAAAAATATTTCGAAGATATGTGAAGTCCGCCAACCCGCAGTGGGGCCGCGTGGTAGACTATGCCCTGATACCCTCTGTATAGAAGAGGCCTTTGCCTAGCAGTGGGAGATGTATAGGCTGTTACTTTACTTCTCTACTTTTACTTCTGCCGTGTAGTCTACAGTGCCTTCCCGTGGCGTAGAAAATCCGAAAACTAAGAAGTCATTGTATTATTTTAAGTATATAAAAGACGCGATAGATAATACTTATTACCTCAAACATCTTTAAACCTGGAAAATTTACGCAAAGAAATTATGTATGCGGTTCATGATACCAATTTTACCGTGGAGAAAGTATTTTTCGGGTACAGTATTTGCCTTTTACATATATTTATATTTATATTCAACATAAAAGAAAGATTGTCTAAATATCCATTCCGGACACGGTTCCGAAATGCGTGGATTTCGTATTGGTACTAATATCAATACGATCTCCTATCTGATATCACCCGCTTTCAAAATCCTTCCGTTGTTATTGCTATGGTAAAGTGACGATGATACACGACTGAGCTGAGCTTCGTTCAGTATTACAACGTCACTCATAATTATTTACAAATATGGTGCTAGCTTGATTTTAGTAAATTTTCAACCGAAATTTCTGTGGCGTATTGGAGAACAAAATAAATGTAAAGAAATCATTTACTATTATGACTATTTCGTACTAGATTTTCTGTTTTGTTCCTCTATTCATCACCATTCGATATTCCGATATTTTATGCTCCTTTTCCTTCACTCATACTTGGAGAAAAACATTTTATAGCGGTATGTTTTAATTTTACACGAGTTCCGGTGATTTTGAACTCTGCCTCATAGAAGTAAATATATGAGATGTCACCATGTCACCGCTATGTGCATCAGCTTCGTACCAGTGCCGTGCCCCAGTCGCGTTAGTATGAGGCGCGCAGTGTTCATGTGTTGGGCAACGCGCGCGGAGGCCGCTTGCGCCACGCGCCTCGCTCCACCGCTCGAACCGTCTCGGCGGATTTATAGCGGAATACCACTCAGCCTCTAAGGAGGTTAATTGACCCACTTCTTACGTTAAAAATGACCTTTGGCATCTTTCATGTTGTAACATTTGACACTCGTTGAATTATGACCGTTCCGATTCTTCTTTTACAGTCCATTTTAGCTTCTTTTGCATGAAATGAAGTAGATTAAACTTAAAACTTACCAAGAATGGTTTCTTGAACTACTATATGGTAAATGAGTCGAACGTAATCTGAGAGTCATTACTCGTTTACCATGACACTTGACACGGCGCTCGACGCGACCCCCATTGTAAAATGGCTAGAATAATTTTGTCATTTGATGTAGCGATGATTGGGGAGTTAAGATTTGTACAAGGTTTTCTAATAATTACATCAGGTGAAATCAAAAATACTAGAAAAGACAATTTTTTTGCATCTTTTATTTGCTATATGTTATAAGTTGATAACGGAATTTATTTTATTTTTTTTTTTTCGTTTTGCCATAATAGCCTTGATATAATCGCGAAAGATTCATTTTTATAATTTGCTCTAACGAGCAGGCAATCGTGAAATATGCCAGTGTGTACGTATGTAGAATTTCGGAGCATAACATTTGCACGTGGCGTGTGCTGTTTGGCTTAAGCTTCACACTGGCTTGGAATGTTCTGTTGGATTCTCACACACGCACCTTTGTCAACACTCATTTTCCCACGTACTTTATGGATTTAAAGAGAAACTGCTTATATATATGTATAATAACAATCAAGGGTTTACCGGTGATCGTCAACATTATTTAGTATGTACATTAACTTTGATAATAAATCGCTTATGGTACGGTGATGGTACTTAGGGGTAGCGGTATGTAGATTGCACAGATTTGTGTAGTGACGGCACTGTGTGTGTGTGTGTGCAGGACGCGGCCGATGACGAGCAGACGCGCGAGAAGCGTAAGCTGGAGGGAGTTACCCAAGCCAAGTTCGGTATCAAAAACGCCGTGCTCGGCTTCGTGTTTGGGGTGAGTAAAGGGCCTTATTGGGTTTGATGTAAACGCGCCTGCAAGTAATAAGTCGCGTATTGTTTTTAGAAAATCAATTCGTTGATCGATGCGAAGACTCGATTCGTGGACACGCTGGACCGGCAGAACATCGAATTGAACAAGCAATACGGTATCGAACCTCCCTCACCTGGCGGTCTCAGCTCGCTTACTGGCGTCGTCACGCAAGTCATCGGGCCCAAACTTCAGCTGCTGGGACCTAAGATCCAGGCCGTCACCGGTCTGATCGGAGGACTGTCGGGAGGATCCTCCGGCCAAGGTGGGGGCTCGAGCAGCTCCGGTGGATCAGGATTGGGCTCAATACTGTCACTGGTGACGTCACTATCTGGTTCTTCGTCCAGCGGCGGGGGCGGTGCTGCTCCCAGCGTGGAAACCGTAGACTCCTCAGAGGAAGAATCCTGATACCTTCCTCTAAAAAAATCGCACTTGTTCGAGTGCACCGCGATTCGCGCTCAAAGCTGCCCATTGCGATGCAATCGACCCAAACCTTCCCCCTGCAGCAGCCCTCAGTGAAAGGTCGCCTGTACAGTCCGCGGCCCCATTGCCCCCAACTCCTTACTCCTACTTTGTATTTATATGTAAATAGATTTAGGTGAGTGCTGGTGATTATTAAATATTTTTTTATCAATTGTATCTGTGTTTCACTGCACTTTGCACCCAACTTTCTCGCACTTACTACCGAACAATGATCCAAAACGTGTAGCTAGAGCGTTGCGGAACATTGTGGCGGTGTAGTGTTGCGTGCCAGTTGAATGTAATGTAAAGTCTGAAGCACCCGTATGCAGCATCACGTTGTTCTTGTACCTAACACTGTTCGCTGTGGAGCTCGACTGCAACACTAACTAAGGTAAATAACCCAGTGCATTACGTATTTGTATCGCATGCTTTTATTTAACATTAGCATAGTACGCGAGTATTTTGCGCTTCTCGGTACTTAGTTAAATCTTATACTTTAAATCTGTAATGGACATAAATTATCGATATTTTAATGGTATGTTACGCGCGTGTTTTTTTCTGTTTAAAATGAGAACCTTGAATGAGATTTTTTTTTAATTGTTTTTAGTGCGAAAATCTAGTCTTGAAATTCTAGTCTAATTTTTTATGAAAATTCTTTTTAACTTCAATAAGTGGTTATTATGGGTTAAAAAGCTTTAACTTCCTAAAACTACTTCAGGTACTAGGCTGGACAGCTAGGAATACGCGTTGTTACCTCACAAAAAAGGTAGATACAACCGTCAAATTATTATGAGTAATTTTGCCTTTTTATTTGTAATTAATTAAAAATGCCCGTATACTCGTATGTTTAATGCAAAATTGTATCTTTTCTATTATCTAAAACTTCAGTTGTAAAAATTTTGGTACGGAGTACTTTGGTCGTAGATTATATTACCGCACCGGAAATGTATTTGATTATGACCTTCAATCTCATTCATCTCATCAAATTCTAAAATTGGAACTTTTTACGGTTAATTTAATGGTGTTAGGGCCAGGCAGCAGTCTCGGCTGTTGCACGAATGGGCATACTCGTCCGGGTAAGTACCACGAGATCACAGAAACCGGCGTAAAGTGGAAGTATAGTACTTTCGCGTTTCGTCTGGTGCGTGAGGTAGCTGGAGCCCATGTTTCAAAAGGTTGTCAACGCATCTGTAATCCTCGGGTGTAGCGGATGTCCATGGGCGGCGGTATTCACTTAACATCAGGTGAACCGTCTGCTCGCTTGGCAACTTTTCACAAAAAAAAAATTGTAAGTTCGCCGTATGTATTAAATTTTAATTTTTTCTGAGCATTGGAATATGTTCGTACAACATGAATGATCCAATAAACGTTTCGTGATTTCGTTCGATTCTGGCAAAAGAATCTGTACATACTTACTACTTTCATAGGTAATTTGCTATAATATTATATACATAGTCTTTAAACTTAATAAGCTATACCATACCTGTGTTTTATATTTTAATATTAAAATATTTTTGTATAATATTACTTACCGCTTTATATCAATAATGAAAACAAAAAGGATTAAGAGGTCAAGAATCTGCACTCCGATTAGGTAATAAAGCGGGATAACAATTTACCTCGTTTAAGAACTTTTCTCGTTAAAACCTAATCATTTGTATAGAACTGAATTTACCAAACAATAACCTAATGAGCCCAACTAAATTGTTCAAATTTTTTTATATTAACTGCATCAAAAGTAAGAAATGTATAAGTTAATTTTATGGCCCGGAATTAAATTTTGATAACTCATTATAGAAGGATAAATTCAAATTACCAATTGCATATGTATGCTGCCATAATAAAAATAATTATTGTAAAATGTAAGTAAGTTTTTCTTGTTTGCATGTGAACGTGCATGCTGCTAGAACTGGTGATGCATCGTTGGATGTGTTACAATATTTTCGTAGTGAATTTAGTTCGATTTGCCGGCACGAGTCGTTTTAGTCCCGCGCTACGCCGTAGCGCTGCCCAAAACACGCACAAGCACATTAGCACTCATGTTTCCGACATCCATACTTTGTCACCACGTCGAGTTGTACTTTCTTTTACCTGACTTCCTAGAGCCCGTCCCTTGAAGTACCTAATGCATATGTTGGTGTCTTAAAAATGAGTTAGTGAAAAAGCGAAATCTTTTGTAGAAGTATTGAATAAGAGTAAATGTGATTTAATCAGCTATGCTATTTTAATTTTTATCCCCAAAAGAGCGTTAAATTATCGAAATGCTCTCAACTTTTAACTCTGAATCATCTTTCACGATACAAGGTCGTAGGAACAAGTTTA